GTACTCCAAAGTCAACAAATCCTGCAGTAGAGATAATTGAAATTTTTGTCTGCACATGCAACAGTGATATGTGAGGGAAAATCACGAATGAACAGTGAACCTCAAACCCTCTCTTTTAAGAGAGTAGAGATTTTTTAAAATTTATATTTAATCATATTTTCTTCAAATAAAATAATTTAACACGTAAATTTTTCTTCAAAAAATTACTATTACGTTGTCCTTGCAAAAAATAAGGGTCAAACAAACCCTTAATTTTCAAAGTTAATTTTCAGACGTTCCAAACTCGCTTTTGAACTTTCTCACGACCTATATAAATTAAAAACCTTCATATCCTTTACGCTATAGACCATGAGGGAAAAAAAAAACACAACTTTTGAAAGAGAATGCACAATGGAGACTAAAGTTTGAAGCGATTTTACAAGAAGAGAGAATTTTTGGTGCAATATATCGATCATTTTCCTATTATTCTTCAAAACTCGGATATATATTCTATTTTTTTATACCTTTTTCTTTAATTATGACGAGTAGCTAAAACTTATAGTCGAGACGAATGATATAACCTACTTTAAACATTAAATTTCAATTCTCATGTGTTTGTACTGTTAATTGAATTATGTATTGATTTCACTTATTTTCTTAACACGTGAATTACTTGATTAATAATTCATTGATTTCTAAAAGGTAACGCGTTCAGAGGTAAATTATTTGTTTAGACCGTGTAGTAAAATTCAACAATTTGAAAAAAAAAAAAAAAAAAATGATAAATTTGTATGGTTGTTGCGGTTTTTAATTGAATCCCTAGATAATTTAATGTGCTTAGTCAAGACTTATTCAAATTCACATAAAGGTATTGTGAATTGATTCAATTAAATGGATGGATTTAAATTCGAGAGGAAAATTATTTAAATGAGTGAATTTGACCGAATACAACCATTGGAATTGAACTTGAGAAGCTAAATTAAAGGGGACAACTTTGGTGAAATCACGAGTCCTAATATTTTTATTAGTCGGATTAAAGTTTAAAATAAAAATTAAAAAAATTGTTCAATAAATGAAGTAGATTAGTTAATTTAGTATAAATCTTGTTATTAATTTATTAGATAAAATCCTATTTTCTCCCGAATAAAGCTATGATTGTTAATTTTGGTACTTAATAGCACAATTCTCGTGGAAAACGATACTTGACTTATCATCGTATTACTTTGTGCACTTTCAAAACCAATGAACATTTCTGCTCATTTCAAGCGCGCTATCAGAATATTTGATAATAAAACATCATCAGGGAATAGATGCAAGGGATTAATGAAAGATTCATGACAGGATTGCACACAAAAAAAGGGTTAGAAAATAAGCGCCACAATTAATAGAAAATTTAAGACCATCGACGCAATTAAAATGTGGCATATGGTGTAATACAATTTCTTGTATATTTAATCGGGTAAATTTGAATAACGATCTCTGATATCTATTAAAATTTTCAAAATGGTCATTGAAATATTTTTCTCACAAATTCACAATAATGGTCATTTAAGTTTTCAACTCACACTATGGCTAGAAACGTTTAAAAAAAAAAAAAATTTCTACGTAGCAGTGTAGCACCATTGAATGTCAACACGAACGCTTTGAAGCTTAACAACTGTTTTTGAAATTAACCATATTTCATAATAAATCGCTGTTTATCATACGCGCCAATGCTTCCGGCACCATTTCAATTCGTCGTCGTCGTCGTCTTCTTCTTCTTCTTGTGTGTCGCTCGATCCAAAGGAAACCTCTGTACTAATCATTCAGTAATCCATTAATCTCTGATTAAAATCACGCAAGCTTAATTGATTTGATTCTTTTCATCTCAACCTAGGCATCACTTTAAACCCTAGAATCTTGGGTAAGCCCTTCGTGCTTTTTGCTTTTCAGTTCTTTGACTCAATTGAGTTGAATTCGTTCTAAAAAGGCTTGAGCCTGGGGTTTGATTCTTTTTTCTTGGCTCGATGAATTTCCTGTGAAAATTCGATACATGGGGCAAATTGCACCTGCGGGAAAACGTTTTTGAATATGAGCGATGAAGATGGGAAGGCTAGTGGCGGATTCTTGATTGAGAAGGAAAGTCTAAAGGCGAACAAGAAGCTGGGAATTGACGATTTTGCCGAGGCTATTGCTAGAATTGCTGTGGCTCAGGTATGCGAGAGCTTAGGGTTTCAGAGCTTCCAGCAGTCCGCACTGAACACTCTATCGGATGTAGTAGTCAGGTACATTAGAGAGGTCGGAAGAACTGCAATTTTTTATGCCAATTTAGCCAACAGGAGTGATGGTAATGCGTTTGATGTAATTCAGGGGTTGGAGGATTTGGGCTCCATTCCGGGGTTTTTGGGGGCTTCTGACCCTAGTCATTGTCTTTCTGGTTCGGCAGTAGTTAGGGATATTATTAGGTACATTGGAGAAGTAGAGGAAAACCCGTTTGTGTATTCAATTCCCCATTTTCCAGTTGTAAAAGAAAGAAAAATGAACCCTGGTTTCAAGCAAACAGGCAAAAGCCTTCCCGAGGAGCATATACCTGATTGGTTGCCCAAGTTTCCTCATCCTGAGACTTATAAGGATTTAATATTGGGGAATGAGAAAGAATTGGAGACTGGGAATAATAATATATTACAGCAGGCTGAAGAGCAGAATAAAAAGTTTGAGATGCCCCTGTTAAATATGCTGCGGAAATCGATTTGTAATGGGTTTGAAGAAGAGGTGTCTGTTGAACAAGGGGATGCTGCGAAGGCCCAAAAAGCAGCAGAAAGTAATCCATTTCTTGCCCCACCTGTTCAGTTTGGGGAAAAGGAGGTGCCTTTGCCTGTTCTTCCTGCTGAATTTAATGATGAGTCAGCATGGAGACATCAGAATCACACAGTTATGGATAACCATGTTTCAGCTGTAGAGCAATCTGCTCGCATCACTGAAGGTGTTTGGAGCAGTCTATGTGAATCCAAAGGGGACAGGAGAAATATTCTCTTGAATGGGAGGCCTAACGTCCAATTTATGTTTGAAAGTAACAGGAAGTCCTTAGGTAAGTCAACCGATTCTCAAACTGCAGATACCAAGAGAATTGCTCTTTGGTTTGGTGGCGATCATGATGAAAAAGATGAGAAGAATAGGACATCGAAGCAAATTCTCCACGAAAATGGGGAAAATCTGCAGGAAATAGTTCAGTTGTAGATTAGGCATGTTCGATTGGACTCTGTATGTTTAGGGAACTAGCATCGAACTTCTCAATGAGCTAGAGTTTTCTCTGTACGAGCTTTACAGACTGCTATATGTGCACTGTTCCCACTTTATTGAGTTCTTGAGGTATGTAGTTGTCTCGTGAACATTTGTTATTGATAATATCTTCACAATTGAAATTGAAATTTTGGATTTAAATATCTTGCCCATCTTTAATATATTGTTGCCTGAAGTAATGGATGATGAAAGGAGTCTTGTTTATTTGAGTAAATGGAGGTTGATAATTGGTGGATTCCAATGAAAATGATCTTTAAGCAGTGGAAATACAATTATGGTTATGTTCTTTATGTTCATCTTTAGTTAATCTACCACAATTCACAATTTGGAAGAAAAGTAGGTAGCGACTTGATAATAATAGAAGTTTTATTGCAAGGTTTTCTTTGATTTATAGTTTTCTTTTCTTGAAGTTTGAATGGCGATGTCAAATTTATCCAGTGTTACTTTGAGCTGACTTAATTTTTTCTACATGTACATTACACTCACAAATGTAATTTTGTAACCAGTGTTTAAAACTGCATAATCAGGTAGTGATGCAAGGCGCCGTGAACCAAAAAAATATTGAAAAACCTTTAAATGCAAAATAAACGCATTATAAATCATAACATTCCTTAAATTCATAACCTATGATGCACGGACACTTCTACTAGATTGGTGCATCCTTGTCCAACATGTATCATGTTGTGTCGGACACCTACACTCCTCAAGCTCGATGACATAGGTCCGATAGCCATAGGTCCGTGTATCATGTTTTCTGTATTCCTTAAATTTCTAATGCTAGAGGTGTACTTTAGGTACATTCCTCTAAAAATTGATCGATTTGTCATGGGCTTTGTCCTATAACAATATTATAAGTATAAAAATATAATATATAAATTTTAAAGAATTAATCAACATGTTCGTATCCGACTTTTCTGAACAATTATGTGTCGGTGTGTCCATATCCTGTGCAACGTTTTCAATAAAAGAACAATGTAAGGTGTGCGAACTAAAAGAAATCTACAAGGTAAACAAAAAAAGAACTATTACTTTGATGTTAAGATAGTGGGCTATTCTCAATTAGGTTTATAAGAAATAAATCAAAATATTTAATGTTTTGTGGGAACACACCAAAGGCAAAGTAAATAGGTCTAGAAAATTAACGAGCACACGCCTCATAAGCCTTGAGGTGGTGCAGTAAGGCGCGTGCCTTGCCTTGAGGGATTTTTTAAACCATGTGTATACCCCTTCTATCAGGTTTCCGGATTAAGATATTTGGTTTATCTCTTTAGATTATGTAAGGAAGATGTCTTACTGAGCAGTTGTCCAATTGTCCTCCACTGGACAGAGAGGGGGAAAAAAAAAAAGAGGATATACAGAAATACATTTAAGGTGAATTCACAAGATCTGTCCCTACCTACTATTTGAACGTGCAAAACCACCTGCTATTCCCAGTGTCAAAATCATCATCTCCCCATTGTAGGTCATGATCCACCCACCGATTTCCCCTTGCAGCAGCATCTATAGGCTGCCTTTCTGCCCCAGGCAGTGTGCCAGCGCCTCCTCTCACATGTTGGCCCGCTGCTGCGCCTCCTATGGCAGCATAGAATGTTCCATAGCCACCCCTCATTCCACATGCTAACCCTCTAGACATCTCATGTTGTTGGTTCAAGATCATGTTGATCCGTTGGGTTAACTAATCGATTTGTTATTGTCCTTGCATCATCTCCCATCAAACTCCATATTCATGGCTTGGTTCCGAGCATTTCGTTGGCTCCTTAGTGGCATCTCCATGAGGATCTTAGCATTGCTCTGATACCAAAAATGATGTGTTGAAGCAAGAAAAAAACAAAGCAAAATCACAGATTCAATGTTGAATGCTGGAAATTGGATTGAAAGAAAATCTCGCAAGATGTATTAATTTCGTTCAGAACAAGCCAAGTGAATGCGCTGTCAACTGCTAGATAAATAAGAGAATTCTAACCTGATTGCCAACTAATTGAAATTTCAATAAATTTATTTCTTACACTCCTAGAAAATATTAGCATGCACCCACTAATAAATAATAACTAATAAATGAAAAGGATTAAACAAAGACATAAAAATAAGTAAAGAATAAAACAAAATCAGCCATATTTCGTCATCGTCCATCTGTACTTGTGTTCATCACTCAGGCAGGATACAGCTGCCTTGCACGAAAAGTTTGCTCAGACAGACAAATTAAATATACCATGTTCTTTGAAAGACGTGAGCATTTCAAAAGAAATTCAGGCTATCAAAATCCACAATTTGACATTTCAGAAGTGATAAGCAAGCATATAAGTGCATTTCCGTAGATGTCACATCCAGGGGCAGAGGGGAGGGGGGTCCTCCAATTTTTTGAATTTTTATTTTTTATTTTTTGGCCTCAAATTTTTTTTTTAATCTCCTAATCTAGCCCATTCAGTTGTTTGTGAA